GTTGATGGTGATGCTGATTCAGATGTTGGTGCGGTTGCTGCCGTTGCTGCTATTGCTGATGATGATGGTGGTGTGTATGCTGATGCTGATGCTGATGAATATGATGAAGATGAGGGGGAGCAGGAGGAGGAGGAGGAGAAGGAGGAGAAGGAGGAGGAGGAGGAGGAGGAGGAGGAGGAGGAGGAGGAGGAGGGAGTAGGAGGAGGAGCAGGAGGTAAGGAGGAGGAGGAGGAGGAGGAGGAGGAGGAGGAGAAGTGAGGAGGAGGAGGAGAGGAGGAGGAAGAGGAGTGACGAGGACTAGGAGCAGGAGGAGGAGGAGGAGGGGGATGATGAGAGTGAGGATGAGGATGAGGATGAGGAAGAGCAGGAGAGGAGGAGGAGGAGAAGGAGGAGGAGGAGGAGGAGGAGGGAGAGGAGCAGGCGGAGGAGGGTGAGGAGGTGCACTGCCCATAGAGGGGAGGAGTCAAGGGGGAAAGAGGGGAAAACAGGGTGGGGGTGCCCATCCGATGAGAACTTTTTGTTTTCAGCCTGAGGTTCCATCCCCCAGGCAGGGCCCGCCGACAGGGCACCCCTCCCTAAAAACATCACATGGCCTCTGGGTCGGTATCTCCCTTGGCCTTCCGAGACAGCGCTAACGCACGAGCTTCCAGCTCACGCGCACCAACCGCTTCCACTTCCCCACGGGAGCTCAACCCAAAGGCGAAAACCACTGCAGCAAGCTCTATTCGAACAGGGGCCGACTGCTCAACGAAAGGGCGCATGCTCAGGGCCAGCAGCCGGACCCACACCTCCAGCTGCCAATCCAAAGTGGCTGGACCAGCCCTCGCGGGTGGCCTCGGGGGGGGGGAACTAACATCAGCGAAACACGTGCCTGCTTTCGTGGGGTGCTCGCCCCTCTTGAGCCTTAAGCGGGACGTGTATGCGGCCCCACCAGAGACCTTACGGGGCCCTTTGCACGGCTCCTTGAGGCCACGCTGGTTCTGCTGGACCGTTAACTGCCAACAAGAGGAGCAAAACAGGACCTGGTCTCCTTCAGAGACCTGGGCAGCTAAAACACTGTGCTCGCTAACTTTTCCAAGGACTAAGGTGGAGGAGGAGGAGGAGGAGGAGGAAGAGGAGGAGGAGGAGGAGGAGGACGAGGACTAGGAGCAGGAGGAGGGTGAGGATGAGGATGAGGATGAGGATGAGGATGAGGATGAGGATGAGGATGATGATGATGATGCTGATGAGGATGAGGATGATGAATGATGATGATGATGATGATGATGATGATGATGATGATGATGATGCTGATGATGAGGATGATGATGATGATGGCGATGATGAATGACTGATGATGATGATTATGGATGATGATGATGATGATTGATGATGATGGATGATGCTGGTGATGATGATGATGCATGATGATGATGATGATGATGATTATGATGATGATGATGATGATCATGATCATGATCATGATCATGATCATGATCATGATGATGATGATGATGCGTGATGATGATGATGGGAGAGGAAAAGGAAATAGGAGCAGGAGGAGCATGAGAGGGAGGGGGGGGAGGAGAGGAGGTGGAGAAGTAGGAGGGGGATAGAATGAGGAGAGGAGGAGGAGAAGGGGAGAGAGAGGAGGAGGGGGGAGGAGGAGGAGGGAGAGGAGGAGGAGAGGAGGCGGCGCCCCCCATCAGAAGGAAAGCATAACGATTGGGTGCTCAGGCCGCTGCCTCGGACGCCCCCCCCCCCCCCCCCCGCGAGGGAGCCACAAACCCCAGGAAGGCAAAGGGCTGCCCTCCCCCCCTGAAGCAGTGGAGGCAGGGCGGGGAGAGCGGGAGCCGGCGGGGAGAGGACAGCCGAAAGAGGGCGCCGCGAGCCCCCGGACGAGGGGGCCCCGCGAGCCGCCACGGGGCCGCCGAGGGAGCGCCCCTCCAGACCCGAGCGACACGCCGAGCGCTGCGCTGTCGAAGCAACGACAACGACAACGACAACAACAACAACAACAACAACAACAACAACAACAACGACAACGACAACGACAACGACAACGACAACGACAACGACAACGACAACGACAACGACAACGACAACGACAGCAACAACAACAACAACAACACACAACAACAGCAACAACAACATACAACGACAACGACAACGACAACGACAACGACAGCACAACAACACAACAAACAACAACAACAACGAACAACAGCAACAACGACAACGACAACGACAACGACACTGACAACGACAACGACAACGACAACACAACGACAACGACAACAACCAACACAACAACAACAACAACAACAACAACAACAACAACAACAACAACAACAACGACAACGACAACGACAACGACAACGACAACGACAACGACAACGACAACAACAAAAAACAAAAAGGGGGGAACAAGCAAAAAACTGAAAACACGGTGTCGTCTGCGCCGACATCGGCGCGCAAGCTGCTTGCGTAAGGTCCGGCGTGGGCCCCCTCGCTCCCGGCGCAGCGCATCGCGCGGGCGGCCCGCGCAAGAGCCGCCGCGAAGCGGTCGCCATGCCACCTCGCGAGAGACCCGTTTGTGATCCTCGCTTACGTCGCTCGGACTCCTTGGCCTCCCAGCGGCGGCGCCCTGGGCCTCGCCGGGGCACCGCGGAGGGGGGGGGAGGGCCGGGGGCCGGCTCCCTGCCCCCCAGGAAGGCGCTGCAGCTGGCGCCAGGGGAACGACGACAACAAAAAAAAAGAGTCCCCCTGCGCCGACTACTTTCGCGCGTGAGCTGCTCGCGCCAGGTCGCGGGCAGGTCGCCATTGGCCATGGGGGAAGCGGGTCCTGGGGGGAACAGGCCCCGAGGCTTTTCGCCTTCTTCGGGCCATCGGGGCCCTCGACGGGCCCCGGGAGTGTCAGAGAACGACTCCGGATGGAAAACTCGTCCTGGGGGAAGGCGCCAGGGTCCAGGACCCGTTTCCCTCAAGACCCGCTTCCCCCGTGCTAAGTAAGCGCTCTCGTCTCCAAGGTGGCGTGCCGCGCCGGCGGCCCGCGTAAGCCACCGCGTAAGGCCGCTGTGCCATCTCGCGTGAGATCCTCGTCTTTTCGTCGCTCAACTGGCTGCCAGCTACGGCGCAATGGGGCGGACAAATCGTGCCCCCCCTTGTGTCTCGAATGCCCCGAACTGGACTAACAAGGACTCGAGCAGTCAAGCCTACATGCCTAACGCAATGTTTGGCGACACGCCGGGTTGCACCCAGGATGGGCCTGCTCAGACGCGACCAGGGGGACCAGAGTTGGGGCGGCCCAAAGGAGTAGCATACCCCTCTCTCAATCGTCCTGCGTTAGCATTCAGGGGAAAGGTCAGCCGCCGGCACGAGTGGCTTCAGTATTTTACCTGAGCCATGCTTCTTGTGGTTTGTGTAGATTTCGCACCCGATTGAGATTAGGTGTGGTGTGAACGGAGTTTGGACCTCCGCATTACAGACCTTACCTAGGTCAGCCACGGGTTCATCTTCCGTGAGACATCCGCACCTCAGACAGACGACAGTGATATTTGGCGGGAAAGGCTTGGAGAAAACCGCGTCGAAGCGGCGGTTCTCGCCTGCACACGCGCTCCAGGCCTCCCAGATGGGGCCCGAGCAGATGGGGTCGAAGGATCGTGTCGCATCGCCGATGCCTCGGTGGGGAGGCGCGATGTGGAACCCGCTTTTCTCTACGCCGACGTCGCTGATGCATCGCCGACGTCGCGGGTGCATCGCCGATGCATCGGCAGAGAAGGAGGAGGAGGAGGAGGAGAGAGGAGAGAGAGGAGGAGAGGAGGAGGGAGGAGGAGGAGAGGGGGGAGGAGGAGGAGGAGGAGGAGGAGAGGAGAGGGAGGAGGAGGAGGAGGAGGAGGAAGGAGGAGGAGGCGATTCGGCGCGATCCTCCGACCTCATCTCGGCGGGCCCCACCCGGGAGGCCTCTGCGCGCCTGCCGGCGGAGCAGCCGCCCAAGCTCGGGGGGAGGGAGGAGCAGCAGCCGCAGCGGCAGCTGACTCGGGCCGTCCGTGCCGAGGTGGCGAGGCAGGCGTCATGACTCCCCCCCCCCCAGCCTTCCTATCCTCCTCCTCCTCCTCCTCCTCCTCCTCCTCCTCCTCCTTTTCTCCCTCCTCCTCCCTCCTCCTTTTCTCCTCCTCCTCCTCCTCCTCCTCCTCCTCCTCCTCCTCCTCCTCCACTCTCCCCTTCCTCCTCCTGCTCCTCCTCCCCTGTTCTTCTGTTCCTGCTCCTCCTGTTCGTTCTCTTTTCCCCAATGCCCCTCTCACTCCTCCTGTTCTCCTGTCCTCCCTCCCTCCCCCACTCCTTCTTCCTTCTGTGGCGGAGGCGAGAAAGGCGAGGTGGGAGGAGGATCCTTCTCCTCCTCCGCCGCCTCCTCCGCTCTCTCTCCCGCGAAGCCCCTCGAGTGCCCCCCCGGGCATTCGCGGGACCCTGCCGCGCCACTCCCGTCCTCCGTGGTCGCCAGCCGCATGCTTCTGGGAGGCGGGGCTGGGCCGGTCAGCCATGTTTGTTTGTGTCTTGTTGTTATGTCTTTCTCTTCTTCTTCAGCTTATGATTTTCTCTCTTTTTCTTCCTCTTTCTCTTTCTGTGTACATGCATGTAGTCGACATGTATACAGATCTTCGACCTTCATAACGATTGGCACCTCTGAGCGACTTGATGTGCTCGGTGACCACTGATTTGATAAACAAAGCCCTATCACCACTGTAACCTCTGGTGCTCCTGCCTGTATGTCTGCTGCTGCCACCGATTCCAACCCAAACGACGGCTGCGACTGCTACTGCTACTCCTGCTTCGGTTATTGGGCAACCAGCAGTACCACTGCAATTCCCGCCACCACCACTACGTCCTACTTCTCTTGCACATCGCCGTCGTTGTCGACGTCTTGGCCCTTCACAGCGTCCTCGTCGTCCTCGTTCTCGTCATTGTCAGCTTTCTCGTCCTTTTCGTCGTCGTCCTCGCTGTCGCCGTCGCTTCTTCGAGAGGCATCTTCGCTATGCGGAAGGACTGGTTCTTGCACCTGGACTTGTTTGATGAGGCTCTTTGGCCGGCGCGGCCGGATGTTGCGGAGTGCCCTCGCTGGGGGTGGGAGTGGGAGTCACACTCGGCGAGGGTGGTAGCCGGACCGCTGTCGCGTGGGAGGTCAACGCAAAGTTGCGTGCAGGCGGTGGGGGTGCCCAGTGGTGGCGATATCAGGCACCCGACTTGTTCAACGTCGTCGGAGACGTCGATTCAGAGAGCATTGGTGGTAGTGTACGAGTGTGCGCTTGCCAGCGTGCCTGTGGCCCTTCGGCTTGTGGCTTCTGTCGTTCTGTCGGGTGCCCAACGCGCTGAAGTTGCCCGTGGTGCGTGTTGCGTTGTCTGTCGTGAGGGGTCGGAGGCGTCGGTGGCATTCCATGCATGCGCGGCGACTCATTCCGCTGGACCCACCAGCAGCCCTCGAAAGTAGTGGCGGCAGCTTCGCAGATCGCAGCCTCCCCAGGGACGGCGAGGTCTCGCTCAGATCTGCGCGGTGCCTCACTCCGCTGGACCCACCAGCAGCCCTCGAAAGTAGTGGCGACAGTTTCGCAGATCGCAGCCTCCCCAGGGACGGCGAGGTCTCGCTAAGATCTGCGCGGTGCCTCACTCCGCTGGACCCACCAGCAGCCCTCGAAAGCGGCGACAGTTTTGCAGATCGCAGCCCTCCCCCCCAGGGACGGCGAGGTTTCGCTCAGATCTGCGCGGTGCCTCACTCCGCTGCTGGACCCACCAGCAGCCTTCGAAAGTGGCTACAGTTTCGCAGATCGTAGCCCCCAACGGACGGCGAGGTCTCGCTCAGATCTGCGCAGTGCCTCACTCCGCTGGACCCACCAGCAGCCCTCGAAAGTAGTGGCGACAGTTTCGCAGATCGCAGCCCTCCCCCACAGGGACGGCGAGGTTTCGCTCAGATCTGCGCGGTGCCTCACTCCGCTGGGCCCACCAGCAGCCCTCGAAAGTGGCGACAGTTTAGCAGATCGCAGCCCCCCCCAGGGACGGCGAGATCTCGTGGGAGACAGGAGGCGGGAGGGAGGAGGCGGGAGGAGGAGGAGGGACGCGACCACAGTGCTCTATTCAAAACGAATACCCAACCAAGGAGGGTTGGGAACAATATTTACACACCCACAGGGACCCAGTGATTTTTACATTGTTGCCTGTTCGCCTCCGATGGTCTGCTGAGGCCCCCAGATCGCCCAAACGCGGCCCCTCGATGCCCCACAAAGCGAGCAACAGGCCCCGTGAAGCTCCAACACGCCCTCAACGGGGACCCGAAACCGCTCCCGAGAGGTGCCGAACATCCATCAAGGCTTCCCTCCTGGGCTTCCAGGAGCGCTCCAGAAGGACTTCAAGATGTCCCGGGACGCTTCCGACACACGCAAGAGAGCTCTAAGACAGCCCACGAGAGCCTCCAGACGGCCCGCACCAGCCCCCAAGAGAGCACCAAGAGATCTCCCAGAGGTCCCCAAGACCGCCGACGAAAGCGCCAAGGATTTCCAAACACCTAAGAAGCAAATCTATGCCTTTTTCCATTCCGCTTTTTTGCCTCTGGTACCCTCCAGGGGCTGACGCATGACCCCCGCGAGGACGCCAAGATGCCCTCCAAAGGCGCCCCAAGCAGCCCCATGAGATCACAAGAGGCTTCCATGACGCCCGAAGAGGCACTGAGGGTGGATCGTTCAAGCGAAAAGACGCTCGTTCGAGCGAAAAGGTAATCCGTTCAAGCGAAAACCAATCGAGCGAAAACCAATCCAATCGGGTTTAGACAGAGCAGCAGAGAGCACAGAGCAGCAGAAAGCACAGAGCAGCAGAAAGCACAGAGCAGCAGAGAGCACAGAGCAGCAGAAAGCACAGAGCAGCAGAGAGCACAGAGCAGCAGAAAGCACAGAGCAGCAGAAAGCACAGAGCAGCAGAGAGCACAGAGCAGCAGAGAGCACAGAGCAGCAGAGAGCAGAGAGCACAGAGCAGCACAGAGCAGCAGAGAGCAGAGAGCACAGAGCAGCAGAGAGCACAGAGCAGCAGAGAGCACAGAGCAGCAGGGAGCACAGAGCAGCATCTGGGCATCCAAAATCATGGTTCCCGCCATCCTCTGGGCCGCCGTGGGTCCCTGGGGCGCCAGACAGAGCCGGGAACCGGGATTTCGGGCTTTTCCAGCCTCGATTTCTCCAAAATCATGGTTCCCGCCATCCTCTGGGCCGCCGTGGGTCCCTGGGGTGCCAGACAGAGCCGGGAACCTGGAATTTGAGCTTTTCCAGCCTCGATCTCTCCAAAATCATGGTTCCCGCCATCCTCTGGGCCGCCGTGAGTCCCAGGAGCGCCAGACAGAGCCGGGAACCGGGATTTCGGGATTTTCCAGCCTCGATCTAAATCATGGTTCCCGCCATCCTCTGGGCCGCCGTGGGCCCCTGGGGCGCCAGACAGAGCCGGGAACCGGGAATTTTGGTTTTTCCAGCCTCGATCTCTCCAAAATCATGGTTCCCGCCATCCTCTGGGCCGCCGTGGTCCCTGGAGCGCCAGACAGAGCGGGGAACCGGGAATTTGAGCTTTTCCAGCCTCGGTCTGCCCAAGGCCGCCGTGAGTCCCTGGGGCGCCAGACAGAGCCGGGAATCGGGATTTCGATGTTTCCAGCCTCGATCTCTCCAAAATCATGGTTCCCGCCATCTTCTGGGCTGCCGTGGGTCCCTGGGGCGCCAGACAGAGCCGGGAACCTGGAATTTGAGCTTTTCCAGCCTCGATCTCTCCAAAATCATGGTTCCCGCCCTCCTCTGGGCCGCCGTGGGCCCCTGGCATCGACGCCGCCTTGCGCCGAGGTGGCGGTGGCCGCCGCGGCGGCCTCCGCGTTGCAAAATCCTGGTTCCCGGCAGCCGCGGGAGCGCCAGGAACCGGCGCGCACCTTTTCGCGCGCGCGCGCGCCCAGCGAATTTCTTTCGAACGGCCGCAGTTTTCGCGCGAATCGTTTTCGCGCGGACGGCGGACCCTCGCACTGAGGCGCTCTCGATGCACCAAGAAGGCGTTCAAGAGCTTCCGACGAGCCCCCAGGAGGCGCCGACGAAGGCCTCAGAAAGATTTCAAGATTTCGGCGTTCTCGCTTTTCTGAGCTCCCGACGGCTCTAGATGCCCACACACGGCCCCCAACCGGCCCCGGTGACCCCGAAGAGAGCCCAAAGACGGCCCCAGAGGACCCCTCCACGGCCCAAGAGGCCCCGCGGAAGGGCCCAGGACGCCCCCAGGCGAGCCCCAGGAGCGGCAGCACAGACGCCGACCCCGCCAGCCACGCCCCAGGAAGCTTCCAAGAGGCCCCTAGGGCGTCCAGCTGCCCCCCAGGAGTGCCCCAAGACGGCCCCGAAAGGGCCCTTGACGGCCCAGGAGGCACCCCAAGATAGCACCAATACGGCCATAGATGCCCCCCAAGAGTCTCCACAATTCTGCGAATTCTCTCCTCGCTTCTCGCGGCATTGCGCCTCCGCTGCCTTTTCATCATCGCCATTTGTTGTAATGAGTTGGTGCGTAGCTTTGCTGCACGGGCTGTGAGGGCAGAGCGGCATGCACCCGCAAATAGCAGGGGACACCAATCCCGCCCGCTGTGTCTCCATGCTGCGAGGCGCGTAGCTTTGCAGAAATGCGAGGTGACAGTGGGATAAACCCGCAAATAATACGCGGGGCTTTTCGCACTGCAGACGTTGGCTGCTGCATGGTGCTCCAACTCAAAAAAATGGCCGACGTAATAAAAGCCAAGACGTCGCCAACGTTGCCTAAAAGGGCCTCAGGGCAGCCCGAGAGGGCTCCAGGATGCCTCCAAGATGGTACTAGGGGGTCCCACGAGGATACCCTGGCGACCAACATCAGTCAAACTATGTGGCGGTCTTATGTATAGTCCTTGTGTTATTTCTTTCCGTTCATGATGATTCCAAGAGGGCTGAGTGGGACTCTGAGGCGCCCGAACGGACCCCAAGATGGTCCCAAAAGAGCTCCACCACGGACCAGGCTCAAGGGAGCTTTCGCAGGAGCCAAAGGCGGGCCGAGAAGGCTCCAAGACGCCCCAAGATGGTCTCAAGACTGCCCCAAGAGGGCTCCTAGAGGACTCTTCCGCGACTCCCATTGAGCTCGTCGTCAAGTCTTTGAAGTCACACAAATGTGCAAACGCTGTATTCTTAGCTGCGTGAAGCGAGAATTTCTTATGCCCCAGCGCCTTACGATGCTTCGAGTGACATGAACTTTTGTGGCTGACGCCAATAAGACCAGCCAGCCACCTGCGGGGCCACGGAATGTTTGAGGCGAGGGGTGTCCCCAAATGGGCGGAGGGGCGCTATGCGGCACCTTGCCAGTGAGGCATTTGGTGGAGCGAAGACATGTGGCCACCAGAAATACAACGCGCGCGAGGAACTCTACGAGGCTTCCGGCGGTGAACAGGTTCACGGCTCACCGCTTGCATCCAGTTGCTTCGAATTTGGGGTTTTGGTGCCGGGCCGCGAAATTTTGCGATCGATGCAGATGGGATGGCCGCGCTCTTGATGGCGCGAGCATTCGGAGGCCGAAAAAGTAAGCTGTTAAATTCGATGCTCCATGGTCTGTTAGTAAGGTGCCCCCTTCTGAGGCCCCTATTGTTACGAAGCTCGTGAAGGGTCGTCAGGATGCTCTTGCGCGGCTCTTCAGTGGTTTCCATGAGGCCTTCGCAGCATGGATGTAGCTCCCGGGGCCAAATTGCCAAATGGGCAGGCATTCGGGGGGGTGGCCATTTGACAGTGCGGCCCCATTGTCAAATAGTTTGTTTGGGGGCCAGGTCTGGGCGGCCCACTTAGTCCGATTATCGATTCGACAGCGGGGGCGCACTGTCACATGGGCCATCGGGGAGGCAGGCCGAGGCGCGGGAGTTGAGCTCCGATTGCCCATGTGTCAGTGGGGGCCCACTGTCAATGAGGGGGGGCGAGTCGCAGGAGTTGAGCTCCGATTGCCCGTGTGACCGTGGGGGGCCACATTCACATGAGCAATCGGGGGGGCGAGGCCGAGGCAGGTGACTTGAGTTCCGATCGCCCAATTGGCAAAGGGAATCCCGCTGTCAAATGGGTCATCGCAGTACCCGATTGTCCATTTTCAATGGGCTCCCCGATGCCAAGCAGTTAATCTGAAGGGCGGTGTGGCCGATTGCCCGTTTGAGAGTGGGGATCCCATGGGCAAACAGGGAAAGTTCGCTCAGTACTTTCCGCTGCAATTGTGCCCCCACCCCCACCCCCACCCCCTCTCCTGGGGGGGATCGTGGGGGCCCGGGAATCTCACACGCCTTGATGACCCCCAAGGGGTCGACGGACCCCGCCGCTGCCCCACAAGCCCGTTGCTATCCTTCAGAAAGCCTGGCACCACGCGCTAAGGGTGGCACCACGATCGGGGCACTTCTGCTTTGGTAAATCGGGCGTGTGGATTCGGGCAAAGCCTACTGACAATGACTGCGCATTCGGCCAGAAACTGAGCGCGCGCGTAGCGCGCGCGTGGGTCTAGTGCGGATGTACTGCTCAACCGCCTGCTGAAACATGCTGGCGCGTGAACGGCTGGAGTGTGAAAGCGGCGTGCGGAGGGCATGCTGCGAACCTGCCTGAGTGCATGAGCGCAGTGCCTCAGCAGTTCGCGAGTGAGGAGAGAGGGAAGAAGTAACAGAGTGGAGTGCCCAGAAGAGGGGGTGGGGGGATGTGGTGCGCTTGACCCTGTGGGGAGCACCACCGTGTGCCTCGAGCGAGGCTTAAAAGGGGGCGGGGGGGAATGGAACTGTTAGTGGCAGGCTTGAGAAGTGAGAGTGCCAGGAATCAAGCGTGATGCTCAATATGTACCAGTCGGTCCTTCGACTTGCCCCCCTCGCCGTACTGTACAGGAGCCAGCGATTTTCGTCATCCCTCATGGTCCTTTAGAAGTTTGGGCTGGAGGCGACTTTTTTGTTGCGGTTTACCGAGCACTCCTTCTGCGATGACATGATGCAACAGTGGGCGGGGCAGTCGTCGTGAACACATAAGATGAAAGTCTGTCTGCAATGGTGTGATGTGGTGTACAACAAAGTAAGGTGCGGGAATGTGTATTCTAGTCTGGCAGATGCCAGGGCGATGCCTGTCATGCAACACGTGATGCTCGCATGGGGCTGTCAGGTGTTCGCGGGCGCTTCGCTCAGGGAAGTCAGACAGAGATTGCTCGCGACACCATGCACGAAAGAAACGGAGATGGGATTGAGGCGTGCTCGCGGTCGGTTCGCACCTATCGTTTCGAGGCTGTGGGAGGTAGGATGTGGAGCGAGGGGAACACCGATGCGTTAGCTCTTCGGTTGGCAATCGATCCCAAGCGAAGGACCGGAGGTGTCGTGGTAAACGTGCTTAAGCAGACTGGGCATACCACCTCTTCCTCCGCCTCTTTTTTCTCCCCCTCTTCCTCGCCCTCGCTCGTACCCGCAGGGGTGGGCTGGGCCTTCGATTCCAGCGCGCACGCTGTGCGAGAAAAGGCTGTGGTGCACGGCGCCGCGCAGGCGCCCGCGTCCGGGCTGGACTTCCGGAGCCTCGAGACGGGGGTCAATGCAACCAGGGGGTCAGCCAGAGCGCCTGGTCCTGCAGGATCCTGCAGGGCCGGGGTCGCATTGACCCGGGCTTGGGTGCAGGATCCTGCAGGATCGTGCAGGGTTCTTCGCCCTGTCCGGGGCTTGGGTGCGCAGGATCTCGCAGGATCTGCAGGATTCTGCAAGGCCTTACTGGCCTGGGTCTGGATTGACCCGAGTCAGCAGATCCCCGAGGGTTGCAGTGCTTCCAGTGTGCGTGGAATAGGTCTGTTTGTCTCGCTTTGGTCACGGTGGACATGTGTGGGCGGCTGCAGACTCCTCGTCCCTCACTCTCTGCCCTCCTCCTCCTCCTCCTCCTCCTCCTCCTCCTCTTCCTCCTCCTCCTCGTCCTCTTCCTCCTCCTCCTCGCCTCGTCCTCGTCCTCCTCCTCCTCCTCCTCCTCCTCCTCCTCCTCCACCCTCCTCCCCCCTCCCTCCCTCCTCTTCCTCTCCTCCTCCTCCTTCCTCCTCCTCCTCCTCCTCCTCCTCCTCCTCCTCCTCCTCCTCCTCCTCCTCCCCCTCCTCTTCCTCCTCCTCCTTCTCCTCCGCTCCTCCTCCTCCTCCTCCCTCCTCCCCCTCCTCCTCGGCCTCCTCCTCCTCCTCCCACCTTCTCCTCCTCCTCCTCCTCCTCCTCCTCCTCCTCCTCCTCCTCCTCCCTCCTCCCTCCCCTCCCTCTCCTCTCCTCCTCCTCCTCCCCGCCTCCTCCTCCTCCACCTCGTCCTCACTCCTCCCCCTCCTCCTCCTCCTCCTCCTTCTTCCCCTCCTCCTCCTCCTCCTCCTCCTCCTCCTCCTCCTCCGCCTCCTTCTCCTCCTCCTCCTCCTCCTCCTCCTCCTCCTCCTCCTCCTCCTCCTCCTCCTCCTACTCCTCCTCCTCCTCCTCCTCCTCCTCCTCCTCCTCCTCCTTCTCCTCTCCATCCACTCCCCTAGGTCCCTAGGTCCCTCCTCCTCCTCCTCCTCCTCCTCTTTCTCCTCCTCCTCCTCCGCCTCCTCCTTCTCCTCCTCTCCCGCTAGGTCCCTCCTCCTCCTCCCTCCTCTCCTCCTCCTCCTCCTCCTCCTCCTCCTCCTCCTCCCCTCCTCCTCCTCCCCCTCTTCTTTCCTCCTCCTCCTCCTCCTCCCCCTCCTTCTCCTCCTCCTCCTCCTCCTCCTCCTCCTCCTCCTCCTCCTCCTCCTCGTCCCCCTCCCCCTCCTCCTCCTCCTCCTCTCCCTCCTTCTCCCCTCCTCCTTCTCCTCCTCCCTCCTCCATCTCCTCCTCCTCCTTCTCCTCCTCCTCCCTCCTCCTCCTCCTCCTCCTCCTCCTCCTCCTCATCCCTCTTCCCTCCTCCCCCTCCTACTCCTCCTCCACCTCTTTCTCCTCCTCCTCCTGCTCCTGCTCCTCCTCCTCCTCCTCCTCCTCCTCCTCCTCCTCCTCCCGAGGAGGAAGAGGAGAGGGAGGGAGGGTCGGCGAACGACGTCTGCCAAGGGCCTGCTGGAGTGGGGCGGCGACCACTTCGAGCTGACGATGAAGGCGACGCGCCCAAGGAGGAATGCTGTCGTGGCGGTGTCGGTGTCGCGGTCGGTGTGGTGGTCTTCGCCGTTGTGGTTGTCATAGTCGTCGTGGTCGTGGTGGTGGTCGACGTCGTCGTCGCCGCCGCCGCTGTCGTCGTCGTCGTCGTCGTTTTCGTCGTCGCGGTCGTCGTCGTCGTAGTGGTCGTCGTAGTGGTCGTGGTCGTGGGCGTCGTCGTCGTCGTCGTTGTCGTGGTCGTCGTCGCCGTTTTCGTTTTCGTCGTCGTGGTCGTCGTCGTCGTCGTCGTGGTCGTCATCGTGGTCGTGGTCGTGGTCTTCGTCGTCGCCGCCGCCGTCGTCGTCGTCGTCGTCGTTTTCGCCGTCGTGGTCGTCGTCGTGGTCGTGGTCGTCGTCGTGGTGGTCGTATTCGTCGTCGTCGTTGTGTCGTCGTCGTGGTCATCATGGTCGTTGTCGTGGTCGTTGTTGTTGTCTTCGTGGTCGTCGTGGTCGTTGTCGTGGTTGTCGTCATATTCGTCGTAGTCGTCCCTGACGTCATGGCCATTGTCGTAGTCGTCCTCGCGGTCGCCGTCGTGGTCGTCGTCGTCGTCCGACGGCGGAAGGAGATTGTCGTCGTGGTCGCCGCGGTGGTTTCCGCCTGGCATCGAGGAAGGAGGAAGGCCGTTGTCCGACGATGACCTTCCTTCTTCCTCACGTTTGCGACTGTCGCTTGCATTCGTGTAGGTCTGAGGTTTCTGAACACTGATGCGCCCGACGACGACATTCATTTCCTCAGCATTGTTGCACGTACTTTGAATTATTGTATCCACTCGAAGCCTTCGGGTCCTCCAGGGGCCACCTCCAGGGGTCAGGATCCGACGATGACCTTCCTGCATCCTCGGTGCTGCGACCAAACGGCAACGACTGTCGTCGCCGTCGTGTTCGTGGTGGTGGTGGTCGTCGTCGTCGTCGTCGGACGTGGTAGTCTTCGTCGCGGTCGTGGTTGTAGTCGCGATCGTCGGCGTTGTTGTTGTTGTTGTTGTTGATGTTGTTGTTGAATATTATTACTTCTAAAGAATAATTATTGTTGGGCCCCCTGGTGCACGCCCCCCTCGCCGCGCCTAGGCCGCAGCCACATTTTCATCATTTTCGTGAGGAAGTCTCAGGCAAAACGGGGGAGTCCGGATCCGGTTGTTTTGTTGACGCCCGCTTTCCCTGTCAAAAAACAATATAAAATGACATGTCATTGTTCTAACATAACCAAACTTCAAGAATCCTTTGCAAAAAATGACACGAAGTGCACACTCGCGCGCGCAAGATGAAATCCTTCCAAAACCTTAGTTTTCGTAGCGATTTAAACATAATAACATGAATCACCCAATGGTTTTTCAAAAAACAAGTTTCAAAAATTCATCCCGCGCGCTCTTGCGGATTTCTTAGGAAACCCAATACTTTTTCAACATTTCTGTCAAACGGGCTCTTGCGAGCAACTTTTTCACGTGCTTCGAACTTCTGCAACAACGGTTGCGCGCCTGCCAGGGCCATCATCCCTGTCAAATAATACCATATGGGACACATTCGTTTTTTCTTCGCGCGCGCACGCCGAAATCTTCAATTGCAGGGGGAAAAGTCGTATACTAAGCTAGCTTACAGAAAATGTTACCACAACAAGTCATTGTACCCATGCGCCAGTGTAGTAGCCAAGGTCGTCCGCAGGCCACGAAGTGAGGTGTCCGAACGTCATAGGGCGGGAAGCTGGGTGTGGGTGGTGGCGAAGAGTCGTTTGGAAATTTGGTAGAGCTTGAACCGGCCCCCCCACAAAGTGGGGGTATTGCCCGCCTCCATGAAAACCCTGGCACTGGTGAGAACGGAGTGTCCCCACGTGCTAGTAATTGTTGTTGTTGTTGTTGTTGTTGTTGTTGTTGTTGTTGTTGTTGTTGTTGTGATTGTTGTTGTTGTTGTTGTTGTTGTTGTTGTTGTGGTTGTGGTAGTGGTTGTGGTTGTGGTTGTGTTTGTGGTTGTGGTTGTGGTTGTGGTTGTGGTTGTGGTTGTGGTTGTGGTTGTGGTTGTTGTTGTTGTTGTTGTTGTTGTTGTCCTCGCTGTGGTCGTGGCTGTTGTCGGGACTGTAGTCCCCGTCCTCGTCGTCGTCGTCGTCCGACGACGGCGGGGAGGGTCGTCGTCCGCCGACCGCCTGCAGAGTGTTGCCCTCGACCCTCGAGGATCGATTGGGTTGTTTGCTGGAGGCTGTCAGCTACAGGGCTGGACCTAAACGCCGTTTTGCCGGACTTCGGCTGTGTTTTGCTTTTCGTTTTGGGAGGGAGGTACAGGAAAAGGAAGAGGAGGAGAAGAGGAGGAGGAGGCGGCGGAGGAGGAGGAGGGGGAGGAGGAAGAAGGGGGAGGGGGGTGGAGGAGGGAGGAGGAGAGGAGGAGGAAGGAGGAGGAGGAGGAGGGGGAAGGGGGAGGAGGAGGAGGAGGAGGAGGAGGAGGAGGAGCAAAACGAACAACAAAACGAGCACAGCACGAGCAACAACCTTTGGGTCCAGCCCTGACCAGCCACAGTGCGGGGAGCAGACCCTGCGGTGGGCAGCGGCAGCGGGCTCTGCTGCTGCTGAGCGGGCCCGTGCAACGCACGCAGTCCGGCCACGACGCGGGGGCCAGCTTGAGCGAGAATAGCGCTCGTGGGACGGGACCGCAGCTTCAGTGCAAACACACGCTCGCGCGAGAAGGAGCTTGGGACTAGGGGGCCACGAGCGAAGTGAGCCTCCCCCTCCCCCATCAGAAATCGTGGGGGGTAGTGGTAGGGTTCGCATGTGGCCCCCTATGGGACGGGGCCAGGACGAAGATAAATCCGTTCTGGAGCCTTCCGGAACGCTCTCAGAGCGTTAAGGAACGCTCTGAGAAAGCCGCTGCGCCCGAGACAGTCTCCAGAGCTGCATCCTCCTCCGCATTCTATCCTCGTCCTGGCTTCGTCTTAGTACGTGGAACGGGCCTTCAGCTAGAGCTACGTTTGTAGATCTACTGACATTCGGCGTATTTTCTCCCGTATACCCGACGAAAAAGTCAGTCCTGGGGTAAGTCAATTTTGCAGTCGATCCCCAACTCGAAACACATGTTGGGCGGGCCTGGCGGCCTGGCGGGGGCTGGCTCGCGCATGCCCCGCTGGAATGGGATACGAGCGGGCCAGGGGAGCCCTCGCCCGCGCCCCTGGCTGCCCGCGCCCGCCCGGGGGGCCCGCCGCCGCCGCCGCCGCAGCGGCTGCTGCCACCTGCTGCCGCGACCACGCAGCAGCTGGCGCTCGCGCAGCCGGCGCGTTGGCTTGGCATCGCTCGGACGTGTGCGTTTTCTCCTCGGCGAGGACCATCGAGGAGCATCCTTGACCAGTTGGCGAAAAAAACACGCACGAAACCGAAACACACACACACACACACACAAAACGGGCGTCCGAGCGATGGCCAGTTGGCGGCCGCCGCTGCCGCCTCGCTGCGTCGTGGTCTCCGAAGGCGCCTCGTCGGCTGTCGCCTGCCCGCCAGGCCAGGCCTGCGTGGGTCGTGGGCTCTCGCCTCTCTCGGGTCGGGGTGGGGGTGCCTGCCTCCGCCTGCCGATCCCGCCAGGGCCCGCCGGATCCCTCCTCCTTCTCCTCCTAGGTCCCTCCTCCTCCTGCTCCTCCTTCTCCTCCCTCTCCTCCTCTCCCTCTAGGTCCCTCCTCCTCCTCCTCCTCCTCCTCCTCCTCCTCCTCCTCCTCCTCCTCCTCCTCCTCCCTCTCCCTCCTCTCCCTAGGTCCCTCCTTCTCCTCCTCCTCCTCCTTCTCCTCCTTCTCCTCCTCCTCCTCCTCCTTCTCCTCCTCCTCCTCCTCCTCCTCCTCCTCCTCCTCCCCTCTTCCCCCTCCTCATCATCCTCCTCCTCCTCCTCCTCCTCCTCCTCCTCCTCCTAAGGGGCCCGGAGGCCCAAGAACGCCCACGAGCCTTCCAGAAGCTCCCTGCCTCGGTCCTCGAGGAGGGCCGAGGACAGGAGAGCCCCCACGCCGGGAGGGCGGGCAGCGGCCCCCGCCCCGGGCCTCTGCGAGAGAGTCTCCGGGGCCCCGTCCTCGACCGGGGCTTCAGTCGGGCCTCCTCCTCCTCCTCCCTCCTTCCTCCCCTCCTCCACCTCCTCCCTCCTCCTCCTCCTCCTCCTCCTCCTCCTCCTCCTCCGTAGCCATTTTGGCTCAAGGCTCATGCTTTTGCGGGCTGAGCCCGTATTGGCATTCTCGGATACCGCTAGCTCAAGGCTCATGCTTTTGCGGGCTGAGCCCGTATTGGCATTCTCGGATACCGCTAGTCCGCGGCAGTGCCAGAGCGCTTGCGCTCGACAGCTTTTCGCCTTCACCGAGGGGTTGGGCTCCCTCATCAGTTTTGTCGCCACGGCCAGGCTGCCCTCAGGGCCGTGGCTCTCGCCGCTTGTCTCTGCGAAGTCGACGCCGCCATGGCCCCGACGCGCAAGGAGAACGCTTCGCCATGGTATTGCAAGTGGTGCAGGCATGACGTCACGAATCAGCCGTGGTTCAACGCCTCCACCCTTGTGTACTGCAAGAAGTGCGGCCTGCACAAGAGCAACTGTTTCAAGGAGAACAAAGCAGCGTCGCAGCCCAGCGTCTCGGCCAAGCAGCAGTCGCTCGCGGCCAAGGTCAAGGAGCTCGAGGCGCAGCTTGCCAAGCTCCGAGAGCATCCCCCTGGGCAAGGGCCAACGGCTACGGGTACAGGTGCGAGCCCTCCTTGGGCTGCCGCGCCTGGGGATGCCGACACCGTCAAGAGGAGCCGTATCAAGATGCTGGACCAGCTGCTTCGGGTCACTACTGACCCTGCTGATGCTGATATTGTGGCCAAATGGCGTGAGGAGCGTGCTAGGTTGGATGCTGAGCTCTTTCAAGATAGGCCCATTGAGCATCAGGCCAGGTCATTGGCGTCACGACTGTCCTCCGCCCGTGCGCGACAGGCTACCATCCAGGCCACTCGCGACGAGCAGCAGCGGAAGATTGACGAGCTCACCCGAGGCCTGGCCGACACGGACTCCAAGTTGCAGGAGGCGGCTGCGGAGGTCCTCCGCCTCGAGCAGCAGACTCGCGCCGCCATGTCGCGAGTCCAGCCGCCCGAGGGCACCCAGCCACCGACGTTGGCGGACTTGCTGCCCACCTTTGCGGTCAGCGTGGAGCAGCTGGGCAAGGTTGCATCGGGCCTCGGCCTTGGCGCCGACATGGTCAAGGAGCTGCAAGCTATGGCCAACACGGTCAGCAAGCTGCAGAATATGCCGCAGGCCAAGCCGCCTGAACCCGCACCTGCCCCCGATGATGAGGATGGTGATGAGTCTTGCGCTGAGCCACCTGACATCGAGATGTCCGAGCAGGAGTACCGTGAGACGCTGGGTGCAGCAGGGGTCCAAGTCGAGGAGAGCGACACCCCAGACATCGTGCGCGAGAAGTTCAAGCGCCTTCAGCAGAGCTACTTGGACACTGTGGCCAAGAAGGCCAAGACGTCGGCGTGAATGTGCTCGGCTTGATATGCTGTTGCTTTGGCTTTTTGTCACCATGGTTAGCTCCACATCAGCGCAACATGTCGAGAGTCCGCCTCAGTCATCTTCGACGGCGGCCAGCATTCTGGGCAGGGGGGGGAGGGATTCAGCCCCTCATAGTCACACCCCCCTGCCCACATCGGCGTCCAGTTCCATGACCTCGCCTGGCACTACGGCGCCTGCATTATCCCCCCCACTGGCCCGCTCCTCGGGGTGGGGGACAGCTCCGACCCTGACGGTGGCCTCGCCTACTTCGGTTGAGCCTGCAGCTCCGTCCAGGGCGACTACGGCATCACAGAGGGCTACTCCGTCTACGCCTACGCGGCTGGCCCCTGGCAGCACGCACTGCTCACCGACCTCATCTTCGGGGATTGGCGGCAGAGGGTACCGACCGTCCTCGGGCGGCACGCACTGCTCACCGCCCTTGCCCTCGGAGAATCCAGGCGGCAGAGGGTACCGACTGCCAGGGGCCCCACCGGGCCAGGGCGGCCCAGCGTGCCCTACTTTGGATGGCGATCATGACTTCTTTGAGGACGTTGAGCCTGACAGGGAAGCAGATCTGTGTGAAGGCGCATTTCATGAAGCGCCATCTTCGTCCCCACCTTCTTCCCGATTACGCTTCGAAAAATCAAGTCAAGAACGCGCTGCACCTACCTCGCCTTCGCCGCCAGGGAGCACGGAGGCGAAGGTGCAGCCAACGCATGCAGTATCCCAGCCGCAGCTCAAGGGCCTCATCACAACGGTGAATGCTACGAGCTACGGCCCTCTTTTTGACTTTTTGGCTACCTATCGTGGTACTATCTTGCTGGCACAAGAGTTGAGGATTACCGACTCCAGGCTTGGCGAGTTTCAGGCCAGGGCCTTGGATGCTGGATGGCATGGGCTATGGGCCCCTTCGCCCTCTACGGGGGACTCAGCTACGTCCAACTTCGGAGGGGTCGCTGTACTTGTGCCGACATACATCATGGTCACAGCCCCACCTGATGATGGGCATATTATTTACCCAGGACGAGCAGTCTGTGCGCAGATTAACTGGGGAGTGGCAGGCGGCATCATAGTCGCCAGTGTGTATCTCGTCACGTCTATTGGCATATCGGGCGAGAACATTGAAGTCCTGTGGGCCTTGGCACAGAGAGTTGCGGCATGGAACTCACGGGGCCTCGACTGGATCCTAGGTGGCGACTGGAATTCCGACATCGATGCGCTCAATGTTCGCAACTGGGTCGAGACCATGGCAGCCGTCCACTACGTGCCCGACCAGCACACCTGCATCACCGATGAAGGCAAGAGCACCATAGACTATTTCGTCGTCTGTGCCAATTTAGCGTCTCGCATCAAGGGCAAGCCAGAGGTTCAGTATGACTCCACGGGCGTGCCGCCGCCGCATTTTCCTGTGGAGCTGCAGCTCATGGGCGAGGATCGCCCCACGTGGTGCCGTGTCCCTGTGGAGCCACGTCCCTTTGCGGTGGTGCCGCCAGTTGGCTGTGCTAGATATCCCTACCCGTGGCACAGGCTTCGGACAGAGTTCCAACGGGTCAGCTGTACTGACGACCTGAGCCCGCTCTGGGACTCCGTGTTGCGAGGGGTGGACTACGAGCTGGCAGGGCGCTACGACTGTGTGGGTGCTAAGGCCATGCAGTACATCGGACGCGAGGGGCCGCCGCAGTTCAAGTGGCAGCACTTGTCATGGCAGCCGCCACGCAGGCGTACCTACAAGGAGCCGACCGTGCTGGCCTGGGCCACGGCGAAGCGATGGGCCCAGCACCTTGTGGCTGAGAAGAAGCGGCTGGTGAGGTACATCGAGCGCCTCAAGCTTTGTGCTGCCGTATGTGACATCACGCCGCTGCAGTACACTAAGGTCGTAGTGGCTTTCAACGAGGTGGCTGCCTTTTATAGGCGCGCGGCTCGGTCAGAGCATGTGCTGTGTGTCTTGGATGCTGCCTTCGCAGGCTTCTTTCGGCGAGGGCTGATCGGCTTGGTCGAGGCTGACTTTGAGGACGTAGCCAAGACCATCATTGCCGCAGCTGACCATCATTTGAGAACGGCACAAAGAGCGGCAGAGAGGGCCTGGAGGCAGTGGGCCAAAGAAGCCTTCCTGGGAGGAGCATCTCGGGCACATTCGTCCTCCAAGGTTCGGGCTCGACAGGAGGTGCTTGCCTACTCCCACGACGCTCAGCCATATCAGATGGCTGACCGCACGCTCGACAAGTGGAAGGACGTTTGGACCTACCACGGGGCGTGTTCTTTGCCGCTGCCTGTCGATCACGCTCAGTGGCCGTTGCTTCCGCCTTTGACTGCATCGCAGGTGCGTGGAGCCATCAGGAGTTTTCCGTTGAAGACGGCCTCGGGCCAGACGAGGATCGCGCCACGCACGCTCGATGTGCTGTCCGACCAGGCCTTGCAGAGCCTGGCCGATATGTTCATGCTGTTTGAGAGTTGGCTGGCCTGGCCCACGGACAGGCTCTACAGCGAGCTTGTTCGCCTGCCCAAGCCTGACGGGGACACTAGGTTGATCGTCCTCAGCAATACTTTCGTCAGGTTGTGGGGAAAGCTACGTCGGCCGCTTTCGGCGGAGTGGCAAGAGACACACAGGTGCGAGCATATGTGGGGGTCAAGGGCTGGGCAGACTTCGACCGATTCAGCCTTCGACCACAACCTGAGCCAGGAGATAGGAGAACTTTTAGGTGAGCACACATGCACCATTCTCCTGGACATGACCAAGTGCTTCGATATGGTCAGTCACAGTGCACTTCTCCGAGAAGCTAGAGAGCTCGGGTACCCGCTGAGGCTCCTGTGGTTGCTCCTGGGCTCCTACCGTCAGCCGAGAAGGATCAAGTGTTTTGGGTCTGTATCTAGGCCCTTGGTGGCCCATCAGGGTATTCTTGCGGGCTGCACGCACGCCACGTACCTTCTTTACCTCCTCACGTACCGAGCGGTCCAGCGCACGGCCAGCATTGCACCTTCTATCACGCCACGCACGCTCATGGACGATGTGGGTTTGCAGTACGTGTCGCCTGTATTGAGGGAGGTGTCCAACCTGGCCCGTGCGGCCAAGGCGTTTACGTCGGATGCTGGAGATCTTGGGATGGTCCTGAAGCCGCCGAAGTCTGGATGTATCCCTGGGAACCAAAAAGTTTGGGGACAGCTCAAGAGGCACCTGGGAACCTTGAAGATCCCGTACAGGGCCCACATGAGGAATCTGGGACACGAGCTCACAGGACCTCGAGTTCTTCGGCATATGGAGAAGCGTAGGTTGGTGCAGTTTCGAGAGCGCAAGCATCGTTTTCGCATGTTGAAGTCCGCCGTGGGGCGGAGTGCTACCAGCCTGTGGCGCACGGGCGCCCTTCCATCAGTGGCGCATGGCGGTGCAGTTGCTGGAGTTAGCGACAGCGCTCTTCGCGAGTTGCGACATTGTGCTGCAGTCCTAAATGGTGCTCCAGGTAAGACGATGGTTGGGGTAACAGCGTATCTCATATCTCATCGGGATGAGTGTTATGACCCCATATATAACGCCACCACGGATATTGTGCTCAAATACGCCTCCTGGATCTGGGACGGACGTGTGCAACCTAGCAGACTTCGGGAGGCTTGGGTGCGTCTGGGTGCTAAGTTCGACAGTTCACCTTCCTGGGCCAAGGCGCGTGGGCCCCTCGGGGCCACTTGGCTTACTTTGAGGCGCATATCCTGGACTATGTCGTCAGAGCACATCCTGGTCGACGATTTGGGAAACAGTTTTGATTTATATCGTATATGTCCAGCAGACCTACGAGTATTCCTGCATCAAGGCATTCAGCGATGGCAGCACCATAGGTTGCAGCAGCATTTTTACACCGAGCAGGCGGAGGTGTGGCATCGTGCGCTTCGCCACGCGCTCGCCAAGATAAAGTGTCACAGGCGCCTCGGAGCGCTGCAGGCTTTGTGGGCTGACAACCTTCCCATCCCACCACGTCGGGACATGAAGCACGGGAGGCCCATTAGGCCATGTCAGGCCTGCGGCAAGGCTATCGACTCCTGTTGGGGTCATATCTTTTACGACTGCCCGCCGCTCCTCGAAGGGAACCCCGACCAGGAGTATTATGAGTTTCCAGAACAGCTTCAGGAGGTTCGTGACATGCTTCAGGCGTCTGGGCAGATGCTGGGGTGCACCGACTGGGACCAGAGATACCTGATCTATGGGGTTCCCGAGCCTGTTCCTGTACCGCACTACACCACGGTCTCCAAGGAGGTTTTTGCATGGGGAGATGTCTCGGGCTCTTGGGGGCCCACGTCATATACTGACGGTTCGGGGTTCTCGGCCAGCATTCCTGAAGTACGTAGGTGCGGGTGGTCGGTCTGCCAGCTGGACCCCGTCACGTGGCTCCCCGCCAGAGCTGTATATGGGCCTTTGCCCTACTACGTGCAGACAGTAGGACGTGCTGAGCGCTATGCCATTAAGATGGGACTTCAGTGGCATCCTGGGCATGAGGTTTTCATTTCTGATCTGAAATCGCTCGTGGAAGAAGGTGCGTCCTGGGACCAGAGGCTCGAGTTTGGCAAAGCGAAGCACGCCCGAGTCTGGAGAGATATTTTTTCGGCTGCCAGAGCACGCGATCCACGTCTGCCACCAGTGCGGTTTCAGTGGACTCCAGCTCACAGGAAGCTGGAGGACATCATCGGGTCGGCCACGCCAGACGAGCTGGAGGCCTACGTCGGCAATGCCTGGGCCGATTTCTTCGCGAAGTGTGGCAGCGCTTCGCATATGGTGTCAAAGACACTGGCTGACAGTCTGGCAGCTGGGCTGAAGCAACACAGGCAGGTCCTGCACTATGTGTCGTGGGCGGCCTTCCAGGTCGTGCAGTTTCGGAAGTGGGGAGCTGACCCTGTCGTGGTGCAGGACCCAGAGCTCGCCCAGGTGCCCAAGCGTGTGGTTTTCGAGAGGCCCCAGGACCACGAGTTGCTCTTCTGCCAGAGGACGTCAGAGTATCGGTGTCGAAGGTGCAATCGTGTCGCTCGGTGTGCGAGTACCCTCCAGACTCTTCGTTCGGGAGCTGATCGTGTATGTGCTCCCTCGCCCCTTGTCCAGAGCCTGGCCGAGGACTTCTTCTTGCGGAGTTCTGAGGCGTGGCTTAGTGTCTCGGATTCTAGGGTCACGGCGGCCATCGAGGCGGCCGATAGGATGTTGGGGTCCACGTCTCGGCCTTTGGAGGCCTCCTCGGTTCCCGCGGTCCCTCCTCAGCCGCTGGGGCAGGTGTCGGCTGCCAGCGGCTCGGCCGACGTACCCCAACCTGTGCTTGCTGAATTCGCTGAATTGGGGCATGATGTTTTCTGTGTCAATTCCGTGTATTGCTGCCGCAAGTGCGGTGGCAATTTCAACGGGTCCGAGTCCTTCAGGTCCGCCCGCAAGCTGCGGGCGCAGTGCCAAGGTTTCTCGGAGAATCCAAAGACTAGGGCGAACCAGCTCACGGCGATCGACCGCATCACCCGTGGCCTGGAGCCCCGCCAGCGGGGGGCAGGAGCGGTGCGTTCTGGCCCGAACCCTGCCCCCTAGTGTTTCTTTTGGGCTTGGGCCTGGGAGGTTTTCTTGGGTGTGGTTTTCCTGAGGCGCCCCACCCTCTCCCAGGCTTCCGCCCTCCGCCACCCCTGTGGCTCTCAGGTCTCACGCGCGGTGGGTGTTCGTCACTCGGACGCCTCTCCTGCGGCTCGCTCGCTCGCCTCCTCCGCCTCCTCCTCCTCCTCCTCCTCCTCCTCCGCCTCATCCTCCTCCTCCTCCTCCTCCTCCTCCTCCTCCCCTCCGTCCCTCCCTCCCTCCCTCCCTCTCACCCACCCTCACTCCCTCCCTGCCCTCCCTCCCTCACTCCCCCCCGTCCTCGACCGAGGCTTCCGTCGGGCCTGTCCCTCTACGGGGGGGGGGAGCTTCGAAGCCAGTCCGGAAATCGTCCGTGGGGACGATGCTGCCACTATTGTTGGGCATGTGTTGGGGCACTTTCTCTGAGTACTTTTTGATTTTTCGCCCGAAATCCCCCGCCCAGGGCTTTGAGAGTCTCCAGGGCCCTGTCCTCGACCGAGGCTGAAGTCGGGCCTGTCCCTCTACGGGGGGGGGAGCTTCGAAACCAGTCCGGAAATCGTCTGTGGGGACGATGCTGCCACTATTGTTGGGCATGTGTTGGGGCACTTTCTGGGTACTTGTTGATTTTTCGCCCGAAATCCCCCGCCCAGGGCTTTGAGAGTCTCCAGGGCCCTGTCCTCGACCGAGGCTGAAGTCGGGCCTGTCCCTCTGCAGGGGGGGGAGCTTCGAAACTAGTCCGGAAATCGTCTGTGGGGACGATGCTGCGACTGTTGTTGGGCATGTGTTGGGGCACTTTCAGCGTCCTTTTTGATTTTTCCGATCATCGCAATAATCGCAAAATCGTCCGGGGACGATTTTGCGATTATTGTTGGGCATGTTTTGGGGCACTTTCTGCGTCTTTTTGGATTCTTCGCCCGAGATCCCCCCCTGTAGGGGGGCAGGCCCGACTTAAAAAACCGAGGCCCAGCTCCCCGACGATGTGGTTGCTTGAGTCTGGATGTTCTGTCCGCGGATTGGGCCTCCGCGGGGCCGTGCTTTCCCCGAGGATCACGGACCCCCCCAGCCCTACGGGCATCGTGAGGACGTGGCCTCACTTAGGTCCCCGTCTTCGCACTTGGGGTAAGCGATGTTTGCGGTTCGGTTCCATACATGCGCCACGTGGGGTAGCCAACGCCTTCGCAGGCATATGCTCGCCACAACTCCTCGTCGCTCTTCGTTGTCGGTCGTCATCGTCGTCGTCGTCGCTGTCGTCGTCGTCGTCGTCGGCGAAGCCGCTCGTCGTCGTCGTCGTTGTCGTCGTCGTCGTCATCGTCATCTTCGTCGGTCATCTTCGTCGCTCGTCGTCGTCGTCGTCGTCGTCGTCGTGGTCGTCGTCGCTCGTCGTCGTCGTCGTCGTGGTCGTCGTTTGTCGTCTTCGTCGTCGTC